TTAGGGCCCTTAAGTTTGAGCCTAAATTTTCCTTGAGAAACTGTATAGTTCTAGGTTTCACATTTAAGTCTTTGATCCATCTGGAGTTTAACAACAACATTCTTTATGGAAGCTGACTGCCACATCTTTCTCCTGGAAGTGGCTGGTGAGCTCAAACCCTTCAGTTAGCAGCAGATCTGGTAACCACTGTGCCACCAGGGCTCCTCTGTAACATATTAGGGTAAAATTACTGTTTTGTCTGCTGGGGTTTGTTGCTGAGGGTGCAGGATAGCAATTTATCCACCCTTAAGCTGGAGTCTACTTGACAACTGGTTTGGAGTCATGGGCGGTGCAAATGGTTAACACATTCCGTTGCTAAAATCAAGTTCACTCAGAGGCACCTTGGGAAAAGGTCTGATGATCTCCTATGGAGCACAGCTGTACTGTGGCTCACATGGGGTCATCAGAGTCAGAGTTAACTTGATGGCAATTTTTTTTTTTTAATCCTTACCACCCAGCTTCCATATGCCTTTATTAAGAGTAGAGTTGCTATAAAAATACGGAGAAGAGTTTAGGCAGGTAAATCAGAGGCTGATGTACAGCAATGTCTCTACAGTCCTATGGCGGTTATGTTTCATCGCTGGCCCTTGCATCCGGAACCGGTCTTTTCAGATGTGGAATAGCAGTGGCTCCAGTCTCCAGCTGGGAATATTATGGTATGGAAACTTTTCATAAATGTTGCCGTGAAAACATTTAACACATAATTACTCTATATTTGAAGTTGCTAGGAAAACAAATTATGCAGTAAAATTCACCCCAGCATCACAGGGGAGAATATAATCTATAAATAAGGTTGTTTATATGATTCATTACAATCACATTGTAACAATCCAAGACATTTTTAAGCGTTAGGAAGGGCTCTTCCATAATCCAGTAAATTTTACTCTCTCCCAGAAACCTTGTGCTCCCTGCTGAGCCAAATCTTTGAAATCAGAGCTAATTCAATGTTTTTGCAGGGACATAGTTGCAGTCACACTAGCTTTTAAGCACCTCTTATTCAAATTCAGGCCCGATGGCAAGCAATTCACCTCCACACCACAGTTTGCTGCTGCCAGCTCCACTGCTCCCAGAATCAGAGAAACAAAACATTTCTTTGAGAATTACACCTCCTTCCAGTATGTGCCTATTTTTATGATTAAAATCAACGCAACATTAATTATTTGAAGTAACACTAATAATTGTACAAGAAATAAGCTTTCATCAGAGCCTTTTCTCTATGTTGGAGAGAAATGGGATAATTATGACCTGTAGGAAATCTTCATTCAGAAAAAAGAAAAAGTGGAAGAGGAAGGTTTGGAGGGCATATTTCCATCCCAGATGGATTAAGACATCAGTAAACACTCTAAAGGAGTCATTAGTGGCACAAATAGTTAAGCAATTAACTACCGTCCATCCATCCAAGAGGTTGACAGTTTAAGCCCATTCAGAGGCACCTTCGAAGACAGACAGGGCTGGCTATTTGCTTCTGAAAAGTCACCGACTTGAAAACCCTATGGAGTAGTTTTACTCAGCACACATTGGGTCCCCCGGAGTCAGAATTGACTCTATGTCAACTAGCAACTGTAACAAAAGTACTAGAAGTGTCTGCATTTGCCATTTATCTTAATATATACTAAGGCCATTCTGGGAGCTCTGGTAGCATAGTGGCTAAGACACTTGCCTGCTAACCAGACGGCTGGCGGTTCAAACCCACCAGCCACTCCTCGGAAGGAAGGTTGGGCAATCCTACTTCCGTAGTGATACTGCCTCGGAAACCCAAGGAGGGGTCGCTATGAGTCGGGGCCGACTCGACGGCACATAACAACAACAACAACAACAAGGCCATTCTGGGAGCTCTGGTGGCACAGTGCCTAAGGTATTTGACGGCTAATCAGAAAGCTGGTGGTTCAAACCCAACCAGCCACTCCTCAGAAGGAAGGTTAGGCAATCTACATCCGTGGTGATACCGCTTTGGATACCCAAGGAGAGGTCGCTGTGAGCCGGATCCATTTGGTTTTTGGTTTAAGGCCATTCTACAGGGTCACTTTCCTACCTTAAAATTCCTTCTGCCCCTCCCTGAAGGGTTTTGGGTAGAAGTGAAGAAGCTTAAGACCACTCTTTCTAATGTTAGTTGCTCCAGTTTCAAAAACTCTTCCTCTGTTATCTCTCTAGCCCCATTGAGGCCAATCCCAGAGATGAGGCACATTCCTTGAGGCTAACCCTCGGAATGACTTTGGAGGAGCATTACAATAAAGTAAAAGCTGCAACGGTTGTAGGCAAACTGAGAAGCAGTTATTAAACCAGGAGGCTTCATTGGATAATGACGTTATTATACACAAACAACTTATTCTTATATATTTTATAGCCTCCATCTACACAGAGAGATTCATGGGTCTCCCAACAAAGGATGATAATCTTGAGCACTACAAAGTAAGCATTTTCTATTGTATTTAAGTCATTAATTTTTTTTTTTTTTCACATGTGCTAAAGAATTCTAAAGCAGTCAGTCAGAGTTTATAGTTTTAATTCTGGGTCCCTAAGCAAATGTGATGATCCTTTTGTTAACTGGAAAACATCTCACTTAGAAAGGAATTTTCTCCTTTGGGATTCTAGTCTTTCTTTCCCCATCCCCCATCCCCTAAACTACCTTTCCTCATCCTCCTCCCCACCCCCAGCCCCTACACAGCTTGAGCAGGCATCATTTATGCCTAAGGTCTCACTCATATGTAACATATGACACATAAACTTTCAGTTCTTCAAACTAAGAATCAGATGGAAGTAATGCAAATGATGATGAAAATGTGTTGCTCTGACTCTTAAATATTTATCAACCAAAGAAATACATAATTTCAGTATTGGTGCTAAGTCCATTGCACAATGATTTAACTAGTTTTCTATTAGAACTTGCAGCAACTAAAATGTTAATTTTTTCTCTTTTCCAGAATTCAACTGTGATGGCAAGAGCAGAATATTTCAGAAATGTAGACTATCTTCTCATCCACGGAACAGCAGATGGTGAGGTTTAAGCAAGACTCTTACACATAAAAATACTGAGCCAGCATCACTTTGTTTAAGAAACATTAAGCATCCTCCTATGCCTATGCTTGGGGTCAGTACCTAAGAGTCAGGGACATTTCCATAAATGAGTGTGATTACTCACTGCTGACAATGTCAACTGCATGACTAGATAATTGTTGGTGTTCATTTCCAGGCAATACATTGTCACTCTATGCTTTCTGGTATTTAGCAGCACTTTAACTCTCTCTTTCTTTGTTGCAGATAATGTGCACTTTCAAAACTCAGCACAGATTGCTAAAGCTCTGGTTAATGCTCAAGTGGATTTCCAGGCAATGGTACATAATTTCATTTTACTCAGTACTCACAGCCTTAGACCCCCAAGCCTAAAGAAGAAATTTTATTATCTAACTTTCTTTAAGTAAAACCTTATAAAGAAGGTACAGGTGGAATAGACAGAACATTACCAAGCCGATCTTGTATCTTTCTTTAACTCCCTGAGGGATCCTAAGCAAGCCATTTCACCTCTTGGGGTTCCAGTTGAGTTATATGTACAATAAAGAGGTCCATGGGATGAGAAAATCTGGCTCAAATACCCAATAGTTTTGTGATCCTATAGGTGTAGCTAGGTGCTTAGAGCCCCTGCAAAACCTGGAATATGAGTCTCAAAGCAGCTAGAAGATTGTTCAATAAGAAAAAAATTGCAGAATGTCATCTGAGACCTCATTGGCTCCCTGAAGTAGTACAGCTCCATCAAGGGTTAGAGAACCTTTTCATCTACATATGGTCAGTGAAGATTGGGCAATCTACTTCCGTAGTGATACCGCCTCAGAAACCCAAGGAGGGGTCACTATGAATCGGATCTGACTCAAAAGCAGTGTGTTTGGTTTGGTTTTTCTGGTCCATCATAGAAACTCAAATGTTTGCTGAGTGAATGCATAACTGAGCTACCTGTAAAAGCCAGGTTGCATATGGAATGGGAAATGGAAACAGAGAGGAAAACAAGGCAATGGCCAAGGCTAGGGAGATAGCTCCTCTTAGCTACATTTTCCCCTCTTCAGTGGACATAATTTCTCCTTACATTGCCCTATATTGATTGCATAAGAACCCATGAAAGACAACTCTTATTTTTGGAATTTTTTAAATTATTTACAAAGGGTGAAGTGAGATGTTTCTGGCAGTTTTTATTGTGATTCTAAAGCAAATGCAACCTAGTAAGTACATAGCAAACACTTACATCATGACCATTGGCCATCTTTATTCAGTGAAAAAATAATATTGCTGGCATCCCACCAACAACAAAGTTTAAATTTATTATTCTATCTTCCCTTTTTCTTACACCACTTTTTTTAAACCATATAAAAGGGTGTTTATGGTTATATGTGTTGTGGGTTTTCTGCAACAGGAAAGAATTAGAATCTCAGCCTAAAGGCCTCATGAAATCTTTGAGCAGGAAAGACCTTAGGGGAAAATCAAATCCAATGCCATTGTTGTTCAAATGAGGAAACCAAGCTCCAGAGAAGCAAAGTGCCAGGTCTGGAATCCATGCTTCCTGATTCCCTGGGATGCTGTGAAAGCTCAATCACCAAACCCAAACCTTCAAGTCAATTCCGACTCTTAATGAACCTATAGGGCAGAGTAGAAGTGCCCTGTAGGGTTTCCAAGGTTGTAGAATTTTGCAGAAGCAGACTGCCTCATCTTTCTCCTGTGAGAGGCTGGTGGGTTGGAACTGCTGACCTTTTGGTTAGCAGCCAGATGCCTTACCACTGTACCATCAGAGCTCATTAGCTCAACCACAGAGATCTGAAATATCAACTTAAAGAATATGAAATCATAGTGAAGGTTAAGAAAACGTATTTTAAATGCTTCCATTCTGAACACTTAGATGTCAATTGCTTTCTCTTACTAATTCAAGTCTTCTTAGGTAGAATTTTTTCCATAGTATTAGATAAGTCATCAGGTCTTGAGAGCAGAGGAAAAGTCCAAGCTAGATGCAATTTGGGACTGCAGAAATTAAACTGGTGTCTTTTCTTTGTGTTTCAGTGGTACTCTGACCAGAACCATGGCATTTCCGGCCTGTCCACAAACCACTTATACACCCACATGACCCATTTCCTAAAGCAATGCTTTTCTTTGTCAGACTAAAAATGATGCAGATACAAACCTCTATCACAATCTTAAAACTTCATGTAAATGCCTCAGGCCGTTTGCTTGTTTTATTCTTTGTGCTGTGGAAATATTGTATAAACAAATACATAAAGGTTGTTCTACAGATTGATAAAAGAAAATTAGGGGGACTCGGAAGTTAACCTAAATATTGTTTACATTTCCTGGTACTCTGTGAAAGAGGAGCAAAGAGAGCCATACATTTTGCTATGGGTACAGTGCTTTATCACCTGTTTGTTTAAAGGAAAAAATAAAGGCAGAAGTTAAAGTGCTATCATTTTGTCTGTGTTCATTGATTTCAGGTTCTAGGTCGGTTTCTTTTTTTTATTGTTGTTGTTGGTATTTTATTTTATTTTTCATGAAAAGAAGCGTTAGGAGAGTACATGATATTAATATTAGTGCAGTCGGGAAAGAGAAGAATCTGAAAGAAGTTTTGAATTTTCGTAATTAGAATTCCAAATGCTAGAACGGCTAATGGCTCTGAACACAAAAGCACTGTATAGAAAATGCAATGAATCAAGTTTGACATGAGTATTGTAGAGAGACATTGATGTTTGCACTCTGTGGAGAATTCAGACTGTTCCCCCAAGAAATGTCGATAACATTTTTCCCAAAGGATTTCTTCAACATTGCCAAAGTACTGATGTGGATAAATTCAGAATTTCCAGTTCTGGCTTCTCTTAAGAAATGTATCAAATGTGGACAAGTTGCCATGAAAGGCAAATATTGTATGACCTAACTTAAATTTAAAAAAAACAAAGCAAGAAAAGGTAAATGTATAGAGCTCTGGTAGCATAGAGCCTAAGGCACTTGACTGCTAACCAGAAGGCTGGTGGTTCAAACCCACCAGCCACTCCTCGGAAGGAAGATGGGGCAATCTACTTCCACAGTGATATTGCCTCAGAAACCCAAGGAGGGGTCGCTATGAGTCAGGTCCAACTCGAGGGCACATAACAACAACAACATAGAGACTAAAGTTTATCGGTGGTTACCAAGGGTGGGAGGGAGGGGAGAGGGCAGATTAACAGTCATGGAAAAATCACATTGATTAAGGATAGGGGTTGCACAGCTGACTTTTTTAATTGCTGACAATAAGTTGTACACCTGTAAAAGGGTGACCTGGCAAAGGTTGTGTGATAGATATATTCACAACAATGATGAAAAAAGAAAAAAAAGTAACTGCTTAGGTTGCTTATGTTCAAAGACCTCATGGGTTTTGATACCTTGGGTTAGAGGTATAGGGTCATGCTGTCATGGGACATCCTAGTTAATTGCCCTAATAATGTGTCTAGTGCTTCTGTTCTACCTCCTAATTCATTGCAAAGCACCTGGGATCTTAAAAGCTTGCAATGGCCATCCAGGCAAACATGGTCTCTACTCCCCTGGAACAACAGAAGAAGAAGGAAAGTCAGGAATAACAGGAAGGTATGAACTGTGTGGCTAATTGCCTCCATGAACAACTGCCTCCTTTGCCAAGTGACCAGAAGAACTGACTTGATGCTTCCCAGGTACTATTACTGAACATTTTGATCAAAGATCCCATAGAAGAATCCTGGTCAAAATGGGTAAAATGCAGGAAAGAATTTCAAATTCTCATGAATTCTAGACTTTCTGGAACCATGGAGGGTGGATGAACCCTTGAAATTATTGCCCTGAGATAAGCTTTAAATTTTAAACCAAAAATATCCCCTAAAGTCTTCTTAAACCTGAATGGTAATTTTAGCTTAACTAGTTAAAAAGGTCTGCCATGAGCATTATGCTCCTTATGAACTGTCTACAGGGGATCAAATTGACCATAGCAACTCCAAGATTAAATAGGAAACTTAGGGGCAGTGAGTTTACGCTAATAAGGGAGGAACAACTCAGAAGAGGAAGGTGAGAATGGTTGTACGACTTGAAGAATGTAATCAATGTTACTAAATGGTACATGTAGACACTGTTGAATTGGTGCATGTTTTGCTCTATATTCTCAACAACAACAAAATAAATAAAATCAATACAAACAAAGTGTGTAAAGTGTAATGGAAAAATTCCTACTCTTCGTATCCCTTATTAGAATTAATAATGGTAACTGCCTTCAGATTGCAAAACCAAACAAACAAACAAAAAAGGACATTAGTATCCAAGAGGAAAACTTTATTTTATATCCAGGATATTTTGCTGGGGTTTTTAAGTCTACAGTATATAGTTCATTTTGGAGAAGGGAAAAAAAAAAGCCATAATGCCTAGAATCCCAAAGGTAATGCCCTGCAGGAACTATCAGCATCAATTAGAAATCACTGGGATGCTTAACTAACAGGCGCTCTGGTGGTGCAGTGCCTAAGGCATTTAATGGCTAACCAGAAGGTTGGTGGTTCAAACCCACCAGCCACTCCTCAGAAGGAAGGTTGGGCAATTTACTTTCAGACAGATACTGCCTCGGAAACCCAAGGAGGGGTTGCCATGAGTCGGATCCGATTTGTCGGAAGTGAGTTTGGTTTTTTTGGGTTTTTTTGGTTTGGGAGGCTTAACATCTCTGTGAATGCTACAAGATTTGAAAGAAAAAAAAATCCACATCAAGTGACCAGAAGATATTTTTGAATGAATGTTAGAAGTATCCATCAAGCCACTGTCCAGGCGACTTTCCATTGACATCTTTTTCAGATTGTGTTGCCTTGAAATAGTTTGTTCACATCACTGGCTGAATTCTTCCCAATTGTAAGTCAAAGACCCTCATGCCTTCTCTCATGTTCTATAGGCAGAAGAACATATCCAGTTGTGGAACATAGAGTAGAAAGGGACAGACCATAGATTCCTCTGTTTCCAGACAATTCTCAGTCAACTGCTTCTTTCTGAAACTATGCCTCCCACTAAAGTCACTTAGCTTCACTTTGTGCATCTGGAAGGGGATGCTGCATGGTGGTCAGGGAGCAAATTCAGGAGCGGCCACACACACATCCACCTCCAAGGAATAGTTAATACCCTAACTGTCAGAGAGAAGCTACTACTTTTTTTCTCTGCTTGGCACAGAGCAGGCTCTGAAGCAAGCCTAAGAGACTTCATCATTATTTTCTCATGACTTACTCTCTCCAACTAGGGACAATAGAGGAGAATTAGTAACCAACAGTCATATTCTACCTAGGGCAACGACAATGTAATTAGAGGCAATGATAACAAAATCCTATTACTGCAACTTATTTTCTACCGTGGGGGAATTGGCAAAGCTGGCATCTGATATCAATGTACAGAAGTGGTTTCCAGCCCAGGCTATTGCTCACATTGCCCAAAAGGCATCATTCAAAAAGACAAGTTTAATTGTGTCATTTTCCTGCTTAGAAATCCAGTGATTATCCACTCTACAGAATAATATTCAAACTCAACTGCGTGGCACATAGAGCCCCTTCACAGTCTGTCCCCATGTAAATTTTCCAAACCCTTCTCCAGGAAACAGCTTCCATAGACCCTATGCAAGGAGCTCTGGTAGCATAGTGCCTAAGGCACTTAAATGCTAATCAGAAGGCTGGTGGTTCAAAGCCACTCCTTGGAAGGAAGGTGAGGCAATCTACTTCCATGGTGATACCACCTCAGAAACCCAAGGAGTGGTGGCTATGAGTCAGGTCTGACTCGACAGCACATAACAACAACAACAACAGACCCTATGCTTCCTCAAATATGCCATGTTCTTCCATATCTCCACACTTTGTGATATCTCAGCTGTTTCCCAATTCAGTAGCCACAAACTACATGTGTCTATTAAAATTAGATTTAAAATCCAGCTCTTAGCCCCATGTGGCTAGTGGCTACCATATTGCATCATGTACATATAGAACATTTCCATTATCAGAGTCAGTTCTATTGTAGAGGAATCTTCACAGCCCCAAAATTTGGAACAGAGCCTGACATATAGTACATGCTTACCAATTGTGGAATGAATGAATGCTTCCATATTCATGGAAGACTCAAGTTTTCTCCATTACTGCGATGAAGCCTTCCTTTAGGTAGAATTGTCCAGGACTTTCTCAGGACTCTCAGCATGTATTCATTCATTAAATAAGCACTTATTGAGTTTGACTGTATATCAGACACTGTGAAAGGCCTTAAGAATATAGCAAAGGTAGCAATTTGAGGGGCAACTTTTTAATATATTCACATTTTGCACAGCTTTAGTAAACTCTTTTGGCTTGGAAAAATTAAAAGTACATAAAGCACTACGGGGAGAAATTTTAAGTAAAAACAATGCCAAGAAAAAGGGGTTATTTAAAAAAGTCTAACTGGTAGCATAGTGGCTAAGGCACTTGACTGCTAACCAGAAGGCTGGCGGTTCAAACCCACCAGCCACTCCTCGGAAGGAAGATGGGGCAATCTACTTCCGTAGTGATACTGCCTCGGAAACCCAAGGAGGGGTCGCTATGAGTTGGGGCCGACTCGACGGCACATAATAACAACAACAACAACAACTTTTGCTAATCGTAGGTAGTTACATTTGAATAATTATCCTTTATCACATATCTACTTCTGTAGAGATACCGCCTCGGAAACCGAAGGAAGGGTCTCTGTGAGTCAGATCCCACTCCACAGCAGTGAGTTTGGTTTTGATTATATTCTGTAGTGATAGTGCCTCGGAAACCCAAGGAGGGGTCGCTATGAGTCGAAATCCACTCAAGGGCAGTGAGTTTTTTGGGTTTTTTTTTTTTTAAATCACATTCTACTTTTGGAGATGAGATTTGCACCGGAGGTTCCCCAAACACCCTAGTTAATGCTGCAAAGTATACCGCATTTTGTTTTTCATACCAAGCAACCCCATGCATTATTTTCAAGAATTTTATTTCACATGTTGATAACTTCAGTTTCCTTTTTTTTCCCCTGTCCAATAGGTTTAATGCCAAATCTTCATCTTAGTATGGAGCTCTGATGATGCAGCAGTGCCTAGAGCATTTGACTGCTAACTAGAAAGTTGGAGGTTCAAACCCTCCAGCCACTTCTTGGAAAGACCAGCCAATCCACTTCCATAAAGATTTACTGCCTTTAAACTCAGTGGGGGTCGCTATGAGTCCGAATCAACTCAGTGGCGGTGGGTTTGGTTTTTGGTTTCCTTTATCTTACTGTCTGTTGACATAGAAGTTTGGTTCCCAGCAACAAACTCTCATCAGCCTACCCTCAAATTTCTAAAGCAGTCCCTCCTGACAGGATGCCTTCCCTGTTCTGCAAACTGCTTTCTCCAATACTAGTAGAATTTCCCTTTTCACCCTGGAAATGACGCTTGTCAGTGTGGCGGGTCTTAGCCCAGGAGGTGCG